CAGTGTAAAAGCTGTTCCGTATAAGTAGTCGCGGAAGTGTGTTAAAGCTGCTACTATGGCTAGCAACTCTTGCTTGACAATTGGATAATTCAACTGCGATGCATCCATTGCCCGGCTAAAGAATTGTATATACCTAGGGTTATTATCTATAACCTGATATAGTACGCCTCCGAGTGCTAAGTCTGATGCGTCCGTTGCTATTTCAAAATGCACGCCATCGACTGGTCCTTGTACACCAGGGGCTTGTTGGACTGCGTGCTTGAGCGCTTTAAATGCGTCATCACGCTCTTTGGTCCAGAAGTCTCCTAGTTTACTTTTATGACATTGTAAGTGTCCAAAGGGTTTAAAATATAAGCGTGGTACTCCATCAGAGAAGAAGTTTACAAATCCACACATGCTATTTACATCTCTTCCTGCAGTTGATGTTCGCCAATCTAACAGGTGTTCCACCTTACCGGGGTCGATCTTAATACCTTCCCCTGATATACGATAGCCTAAGAGCTGTATTTCGCTCATTGCGAAGTGACATTTCTTTTCGTTTTGTTCGTTGAGTCTCTGAAGGACTCGTCTGACTAATGCGGCATGTTCGCCCTAAGTCTTTGAAAAGATGACAATGTCATCTATGTAGACTTGCACATTAAACATGTCTGCAAACATTTCCTCCATTACTTGTTGGAATAATGCTGGTAAAGTGCAACCCGAAAGGTGCTCCTCTAAACCTGTATTGTTTACCCTTCCAAGTAAAACAAAAACCTGTATTGTTTACCCTTCCAAGTAAAACGAAAGTACTTACGATGAGGTTCGTAAATTTGCATTTGATGATACCTCTGTGTTAGGTCTATGGATGTAAACACCGTAGCACCTTCCATTCGTCTCAGTAACTCGTTTGTACGAGGGAGATGGAAACTATGAGTCGGCAATAACTTATTTATCGGGCTCATATCTAGACATACTCTGACTTTCTTAAATGTTCCGTCAGAGTTGTGTTAATCAACTGCCAGTAGTGCTAAGTTTACTAGCGTTTGTTGGTAATTAATTTCGGTTACCCCATCGGCTAACCATTTCTCCACTTGTTTTTTAATTACAGCCTCATGTCTCCAAGATACATAGTTTCTTGAAGGGCATTTGAGCTTAGTAAAGTCTACCTTGGTTAAGTTAAGGCTGACGTATCCGTCATTAAAGCGGAGTTTCTCCCAGTCAGTATCTTTATCTTTTCATTTACTCATATAAAATTCATTATCTTATCGGCAAAGCCAGGAATTAATTCCTTGACTGTGTCCGATGGTGGTGTATATGATTTCAGACAATTATCGTCTGATTGATCCTTTAATGGATCTATGTTGTTAAGTAAATATGTTATGGTTATCCCTAACGTGAGCAAGTCGCTCTTCTCGATTATAATGTCGTACTTCTGTGACATGTTAACGATCACAACTTGAGTCGTGATATCTCTATCATCGGCCAGGGAGATTTTAACATCTGTGGCCATTGTATCACACTTAAAAGTGTTATCTTCTGCTAAAATAAGGCGAGTAGTTTGAGTTCGCCTTTCAATATCTTTCATTAATGCAAAGCGGTCGGATATACATGAAATTTCTGAACCAGGATCAATCAATGCAAGGATATATTTCCGTTGCAATATACAGGGATTATTACACGCTCGTCTAAGGAGTCGTTGTATTTCTTTGTAACGATTGTACCTGGTAGTACTTTCACTCCAACTTAATGTCGGGCTTCTTGTCACAAGACTTGGCGTGATAGCCAATAGTCTTGTCACACTTGTCACACTTCGTAAGGAAGTGTGTACAGTTGGGTGCATGTCTTTTATTCCAATGACCGTTAGGGGTTAATTGGTACATGTCATACCCACACTGTGCGTCGGCACATTTCTTAATCCCCTTATATGGAGGTTCCTTGTCCTTCGGCTCCGCGCGTGCCCGTTTAGTGGGTCGCATCGGCTGATCAGCGTCGCGAGTGCGTGTCTGATTAGAACGCGTCTGATGAGATTTATCATCCGACGTCTGTCGTGAGAGATATCCTTGATCAAGGAGTTCGCACGATTTCTTATTCATCGCCCTTCCCTTCGAGGTTAGTCGGTGCGCGGGGTAAAGCGTGGATACAGTATCACAAAAAAACTGTTCCCACTTACGTTGTTTCATGTCCCTTGTCTCGGGCCTCAGTTACGTACTTACGTCGCAACTCAGTGTACAGACTCTCTCGGGCGTTGTTCCCTATGTTCTTGCAGAACACATGCATAGCCAGGAACTCGTACCATTTCTGAGCTTTGTCCTTTGTTATATCAGGACGCTTCAGATCTGCAACGAGTTTTAGAACGTAACTCTGAATGGGAGTATTCTCGACTGGTTCAGTTAGAATTGAACTCAGTCCAGGACTACGCATGTCCTTGCTTAATAAGGACGTTGCTAACCAGCACACAGCTGGCCAGTCACGACAGGTGTCTAGCTCATGCTGATGTCTCTGTAGGATCAAATAACTTGTTCCTGTAGGGCCAAATGACTGCATTAAAGGGGATATTCATTGCTGGGGAGCAATATCATTTGTCTCCAGCATGACCGTAAACACATTTAGAGTACGGGTTAGCGTGTCGAGGTCATGGTTATTTATGAACTCGACCTGCTTGCTGTTGGCATTCCAGTTTGACTTAAGTCGACTGATCTGTCCCTTGTACTTCTGGTTGTCCCGGTGGTCTTGTCCACGTTGGGCCTGAGGGCTGTTGGCATCTCAGTTTGACATAAGTCGACTGATATGTCACTTGTACTTCTGGTTGTCCCGGTGGTCTTGTCCACGTTGGGCCTGAGGTAGCTGATCGATGCGTTTCTGCTTGATCGCAATTATATTAGAATAATACGATACGTCGTCCGTACGGTGATCGGTATGGGCGAATTTCATCTGTTTGGTGCAGACGTCGACCGCTTTATTAAGTTCGGTCACCTCATCAGAGTGGAAATCCTCTGCGGGTTAGTGTAAGGCGGTGCGATCGAAACGATTAAATTCGACGTCGTTAACACGTCTACGAGGGTGTTTATTACCTTGTGTAAAGTCCATGGTCGAGGCCCTTCGGTGCTCTGCTCCTGGGATAGGCGTTGGCCTTATAAGTTCGGGTGGTATCTTCGTATAGACGACATATCCAGTCTTAACTGGTTAATGACGTGGACGATCTCCCCAATTGGGTAAAGGTGGTGGAGTGTTTTTACCTGCCTCTGGGTCAATAATACCCTCAAGGACAGGCGACTCATGACCTGGCGAAAGAACAGGCGAATGATTAGCCTGGACTTCTGGTGACAGGTCCTCGTAGGGTATAGACACGCTGAGCCCATTTGGGTCAGCTGCTACAGGTTTGGCGCTCAGGTCCATTCGCTTTTCGGGCGACATTTACTGCTGACGTTCTGTCCACTTCTGTAGGGCTTTAGTAGTGCCCGGAAAAACATGCTCGCGTAAGCGCTGTGCGTGCTTTCCTGATCCATACTTTGCCTTTCATAAGAGCGGCTAACTGATTCTTAAGATCAATGTTTTCAGTCGTTAACTTACTTATGCGAGTTGGCTCAGTGGTCTCGGACTTAGATTCGGATTTGCCACTTGAGTTTGGCTCCTCTTCTGGTTCCAGTGTAGGTACCTTCTGAGATTCGTCTTTGTCCCCTGTAATTGAGGACTTTCCTTTTGAGTCTCATCAGAAGAATTAGCTGGGCGTCTTGAGACGTGTCCCTTGTCTCATCTCTTGGCTTCGGGAAAGCGAGCTTTGAGGTTGAAGCAATAGTTGGCCCTCGGGCTTTTTCTGCAGGGGTAGTCTCCTTAATCGGAGTAGCTACATCTTTATCCGAAGCGTTGTCCGGACTGTTATTGCCAGAGACAAGTGCTTCGGCTACGGTGCGGTTGAACGCTTCGGCAGCAGCGGCGGTCGCTTCTGCGGCAGCAGTAGCTGCGGCAGCTTTAGCAACTTCTCTCTCCATCTTCTTGCGTTTGACCTTGCGTTTCTTTGACGGTATATTATCTTTCTTAGTTATAATACTTACTTATGACTTCAGTCTATTCTCTTATAGAATAATTGTGCTTTACCTTTACGTTTAAGTAGTCTAAGTAGTTGATACCTTTGCTAACTTTAAAATGTGTAAGTTTCGGTCTATCAAGGCGATATTAACGCTTTAGAACAAATAAACGTTTAGTTTAAGGGTAAGGATAATAAAATCTAAAAGTAAATAAACGAAATGAGTTTTTTTAGTAAAGTTAGGTATACCTCGTGAAAACAGCAATACTCTGAGGTATTGTGAGGCTGAGACATTGCCTATATAAAATCCTTTCAGTACTGTTTTCGCCGAAGGGATTTTATTTAGTGTTTCGTTGTCGCTCTACTAGAAACTACGATATGTTTTGTTGGGGTGAATCCGAGAGACTTATAAGATACTATCTGAGGAAAAAAGAAGAAAAAGAAGAAAAGAAAAGAAAAATACTCATGATTTCCATAGTTATTGCATTAAGCAGTAACTTGCCACTTATCAAGAATTACCGATTAGCCTTCATCAAACAGGCACATCTGGTTGGCTGAACAGAGGATAAACTAAGCAACGCTAATAGTCCCTAGAAACCTTTGTTCGATTGTGCCATCTCGCAACCGAAATGTTCAGATATAAATAGATTTGGAAAGTAAATATAGTTCTATTAATAGAACTAGTCCAAATCTTATATTTGGTATTTACTGGGGCTTTTTAATGGCCTTGTCCAAGTATCTGATATGTAAAATGGAAAAGGTATCTAATTAATAAAAACCGTTAAAAACCACTTAAGAAAAACTAAGTTTACGTACTTTTAAGAGGGCGGTCTGGGAGAAAACGTTATATACTGATCACGAGCCACTTGTGGCTATGTGTGCAAGACAGTCGCGTGGTGGTCAGGTTATCTACCCATTTTTTTTTAGAGCTATATAGTATATTGCGGACTTGGTGAACAAGGATGTTCC